ATGGGCACTCAGAGAAGACCTGTATTAAGATTGGGGATCCCAAACAAGAGCCCCTTTGGGGAGTCCATGACAGTCACTATGCCGTCACTGATTTCAGGGGATTCGTGTGAAACCCACGTGCAGGTGTTTGCAGGATCGGTGCATTCATTATTAAGACATTACAAGAGAAATGCTTGTCCTAGAAAGAAAAACTCACCGAAGCCACCAAAGACGTCCTCAAAAATCGGGGTCGGTGGACGATCCATACAGTTTTCACCCTGATAAACAAGTATTTCCTTCACAAGCTGGAGTCCATTTACAATCACAAAGTGCTCACTACCAAGCTGCATGCTAAAAACGTCACCATATTTTTCAGCATACTGGAAAAAAAGAAAAGATTGAGTGGTTTTGTTCACAGTTAAACTTGCTTGTTAATGAGAGTTAGGGACCTAAGATATGTGAGCAGCCAGGATTTTTGTTGGGGATATTTTTTATTTGACCAACTGCATGGTTGGGAGATTTAGAATACAATGCTTTACTTTCCCCCCAAAAATTATGATTAATAAGTTGTATTACAATGGCGCTGGAGGACCATGCTGTTCAAGCCCTCCTTTCTTGGCCCTGTGAGCTTACAACAAAACATTACAGGTGTTTGCAGCAAACAAAAAAAAGGGAATGAGGTAACAGTAGGAGAAAGCTGTTAAATCACTAGGACCACCTTATGTCTTTGCCTAAATGATCTCAAAATACAACAGCCCAAAGAGTCAAACCAAATCCTTCCTGCCTGGGACCTGGGACCTGCCTCCCCTGGTGAAGAAATCAAATATTCTGGTTGAAACAGTGTGCTCCTGTCCTGTCAGAGGCACTGGTGCTCTCTGGTTCATATGCTGCTTATTACCAACTGTGCTGCTCCCCCCTGGCTGGCCCTGACTGGAAGCTGTGAAAATAAATGGAATTACTGGGTTCCTCTGTGTCCCTTGGGGAAAAAAGAAGGGCAAAGGGGCCGAATATCACAGAATAATTTCTAAGCTCCTCTGGACCTTCTGGGTCACCTTCAGTCCTCGTGGGTTCCTGACTCATCGTCACTGCTTGTCCTACAGGCCTTTCTAGCCCTCGCACAACTTCCGTGCAAGTTCGTGCCAGCTCATACCTCCTAGGCTGGTTTAAAAGCCTTGTAATTAAATCATTCCAAGCTCTTCTGCAATGAACTCTTGAAAATCCTTTGGAGATCTTACCCGTCTCATTTCTCCTAATCCATCATGAGTCCTTCTAATCCTGCTGAGCAGCTCAATCCCAACCCGGAACCTTTCAAATCTTGAGTCTTTCTATGCGTGGTACCTCTTTATGAGCAACATCTCACCCGTCAAGTCTTTGTAGGCCTTCCTCTTCCTGATATGACTGCATACTTATCAAGGCCCCAGGAGGCAGGATGATCATATTTTCCTGGCCTCAAAATGGGGCACCGTGCCCCCAACCCCATTACCCTTGCTGTCTGGCATGTTTAATTGCCTCCCAGTTCTGGTCTCAGCACACCAGACAGCATGACTTGGTGGAGGGGAGGATGGTGCAGAGGGCCAGAGACCAAAACTGGAGAGAGACAGTCCCATTTTCCTGAGGGCTGTTCCATTTTAAACATGTGTCCTGGTGTCCAGCTGAAAATTGGACTAAAACATGCATTTGAGCAAACTGTCAGGATGCCCAGCTGGCTATTTAACATGGGCCTGCCCCAGAAAAAATGGGACATGTGGTCACCCTACCTGCATGTCTGACAAACCCCGACCAAGCTATAGTTCCCTTAGTCCCCATTTGTCCTGACACACTGCCATCCGTAACATGCAGGTCTCGATTCACCTGTAATGCCAAGTTTGCTTGGGAGCATTCCCCGTCTCAGGCAGACAGCCTTGGTGCACCCTGTTTCTTGAGCACTTCCACTGGGGACGGGATCCTCAGGGGGATGCCCCCACACCCAGCCCAGGTGAGAAGCATGTGACCCGGGTTTCCTACACTATAACAATTGCAGGTTGCCACGGTGGGTGGCTCACAGGGACTGTCAGCAGCTGGCACAACCCAGAGTAGCCCGGAGCTAACTAGCCAGTTACCCTCAAGAGCCGTGCGGGGCATTCTTCGGCTGCCGCCTCAAGGCTTTTGCTCATCACACCCTGTTGGCTATTACTTTTGAAGAGGGTTGCCATATTTCCAGTTCCAAGAAAGAGGACACCTGTCGGGGGGGTACACCTCACTCCCCACCTACAGCCTCCTGGTCCTGCCAGTGCCCCTCACTCCCAAACTGAAGTCCCCCATCACAAACCACAGTCCCTCACCCCCCCGCACCAGGCCATGCTGGTGCCCATCACTCCCGACCCATGGACCTCTGCCCCTGCTGGTGCCCCTCACTCCCACCCCCCGGCCATGCTGGTGCCCCTCATTCCTGACCCACAGCCCCCTGCTCCCTCCAGCCCCGCAGGAGGGGGCTACCAGCTGCCCCCATGCCAACCAGGCTCCAGCGCAGTGACTCCAACTTCTGCGGGCGGCAGTGAAGCGAGTTCGGCCCTGGCACAGCTGGGAGGGAGGAGGGGATGCTGGTGGCACCCACCTCCCTGG